GCAGTTGTAATATTCAGTTGAATATAGTGGATTAATACCTCGTTGGAGAGAGGCGAAATCACCTTGACGGGTGGACTAGAGTAGTTTGAGATCAAACGAACCAGGATAAAAATACTGTGTTGACTGCAATTGATTTCAAGTTTTTACAATTCAACCCCCCTTCTTGTGTTTTTCACTTCTTCAAGTTGGTCAATTATAGGTTCTAAGGTTAGTTGATGCTTAACGACCCATATAGCAGCCCCGTATTCTCCTTGTTCCTCCACAAGGGATACCGGTACCAACTAATGTGCCACATCAATGTAGCTACTGCTTCAACCGTATCGGTCTACGCTGGACAGTTCCCTCACAGTTTATTGCTACTTACCTAACAGGTGTTCCCAAGATCCGGGTTAAGATCTATAGTAACTCCGATACAAAGCCCATAAAAATAAAGCAATCAAATCAAACAATTGAAGCAAATATAATGAACTAATCCTAAGGTAAACCCCACTTATTAACTCCCCAGCAGAGTCACCAGTTTTGTGATACGGTGGCCAGAACCGGGATTATTTTTAGGAATGCTGGTTTGCGTTTTGCGTTTGTGTTTGCAAAATGTCACGGTAAGCCAGAGTCGCCACCGACTTTTATTTTATCCAACAAGGAAAGGAAAAAAGCACAGAAAAAATTCCTTTTTTGAGATTTTATGAGTACGGGGCGTAGATTATAGAAAGGGAAGGTATTAACACCCTTTCTATCCGTAGTTATCTACGGGCTCTTAGGTACTTGCTCATCATTTTCAAAATTGCTTCTGTGTGTTTGTGTGATTTGAAAAGTTTTTGTTTTAACTTTGATTTAACTCTTGCTTCTGTCTTCAAGAGTGTTACGAAGTGTTTTTGAAAACTTTGTTTGAAAAAGTGTAAGTGTGGAAAAGTTTGTTTGGATTGAGCAAGTACTTAAGAGCTAATCTACCTACTCGAAAAAAAGAATTGTTCTATGTTCGTTTCCTTTAGACAGCGATATCCCACTATTAGTGAGTGGGTAACACCGTCGTTGGAGTTTTTAGGGTCAATTCGAAAGGGACGTACGGTCACTAAAGCAATGTTAGGACATCTTAGTAGTAACCATAATGTCTTAGATCAATTATTCGAGGCAACAATATCCGAGGCAACCATTCCGAGGTAACTTTTCTGAACGGGACTTTGATCTTTGTTTAGACAAGAGCGACCACTAAAGAATCCTATACCTAATGACCGTTTACCGAGGGCAACCGAAGTGGGAGTATACCCTAGGAGTGCGCATGTGCGAGTGATTCAATTTCAAGTTTATTATCTTTCCACATTTAGGGTTAACTAACCGTTTTAAAGTTAATCATACATTCTTGTCATGCATCCCTATTATTCATATATCTAACAGTTAATATTTTGCGGAATTTAAAATGCGGAAAGTAATCTACGCTATTACAAGGCTTCGGGTATTTACATAGCCAAAAACAAACCCTTAAAAAACGATAAATGAAATTAAAAGGTCCTAATTAAGCTATTACAACTTGTGAGCAATTACATTAATATGGTAAAAATAACAAATAAAGCGCGCGCGAGGCAATTAAGAACGATAAGAAATTAGGGTTTTGACCCTTTCTAACCTAATTGAAAGAAAAAATGTTTTTGTTGTTTTTAATTATTTTTAAGAAAAAGAATTAGGTTTTTAAAATTAATTAATTAATTAATTAATTAATGAAAATAAATAAATGGCCTATTTTTGTGTTTTTGGTTATTTTAAGAAAAAGAAAATATAATTAAATTAGAAACAAAAACCTTAATTGTTCTAATTAATTTTAATTTATTTACAAAAATAATTAAAGTTATCTAAAATTAAATAACCTAATTAAATTAATTAATTTTTGATAAAAAAATAAACCTAAATCTAATTGGGTGAAAAAATATTATTTTTATGATTTTTTGATAAAAAGAAAAATAATTTTTATGTTAGTAAAATAAATAAATAAATTAAATAATGGAAATATAAAAAGAAAAGAAAAGAAACTTGGGCCTGCAACCAGCAATTTGGGGGGTGTGAGAATCAGATTCCGGGCCCAACACTTGGCAGATTGGATGATGAAGCCACATGGTGGTCTCTACGCCTTGTGGAACATGGAATCTGTAGAGAGAAATCAAGAAAAATGCAAATGTTGGAGGCAGGGGTCGAACCCATGACCTTAAGCTCTCCAATGCCTTAGCGCTTACCTGGCCACCACTGGGCCAGTTGGTTCAATTGATTATCAAATGAAACAAAAATAATAAAAAGAATAAAATAACACTAGCTGTAAAACACGCGCGTGAATTCAAATGCACGAATAGGATGGAGCCACGTATGTCATCTTCCTCCTTGCTCTGTTGGTAAAAGTCACAGACTTTTACCTACGACCATTTGTCCATAGCTACAGGTCCTGCAATTCTCAAAATCCAATACCAGCATGATAAATAAAAACTAAGGCCATGGATAGATTCGTCTGGACCTGCTAGGCACGATGGTGCCCCTTTCATGGCCCAATTTTACCTGTGCACAAAGATCCCAAATAGAAGCAACAAACCCTAACAATGGTGAACTCTAACACAGTCTATGAAAACGCAATTAAATGTTACAGAAAGCTTGCAAATATGTTAGGGAACAAGAATATGTGATTATCTCATGCTATAAGTGCCAAAATTATGCAAATCGAATTCAAAAAAGGTTCAATGTCGTGACTGCCTTACAGTGGTTTCTAGCGCCTGAAATTGCTTGTTCTTGATTGGTATAGGTTCCTTGTGATCCCAGGAAGAGATTGGGATGGCTAGAGAGTCTTGATAATGCCTGGAAATATGAAATCGTGTCTGCACTTTTTGTGATTTTTTTCAAGTTTGGTTCTTGTTCTTGCGCCTCTCTTCAGCCTCGTTTTAGGTCTGCAAATGTTCAATATATATCAAGGATTTGATTAGGGTTCAAAACATGATCTCAATCTTCCTCCATTATTGATTTTGGTCTTGATTTGATTCACTTAAAACCCTTCCAAAAATAGGCCAAATTCAATCTTTTTATGCACTCAAAGGCCTTGCACAAATTCAATCAATTGCTAGCTGGATGTAGGACCTGAAACATGTACAAGATCTTTGGATTTCAATGTTTTGGATTTTTCATGATTTGTTTTAATTTAAATTGATTTAATTCAAACAAAAATCAAAATAAATAATAAAAATAAGATAATGACAATTGGCAAGAGCTAGGGCTCGTGGACCATGCTACCAACTCAAAACAAGTGCAAAAAGTTAGGCCCATTTAGCAAAATTTGCAATTTTAGGCATAGTTGACTTTTGACAATTTTGCAAAAAGGGTCAACTTCACCAATGCACAACTTCCTCAATTTTGACTCTTTGAAGGTGTTCTTGGACTTTTTAGAAATCTTGAGATGTACTCTAAGCAACCCTTTTGGTCTCATATCAATTTGGTATTCCATGTTAATGTATGAAGTTTTGACAAAAAAGGTGTTTTTGTTGACTTTTCAAAATGACCTATAATGTCAAAATTCATAAATTTTTGTGAGTGCATATTTTGAACTTGGGATATGAAGATGGATTGTAGGGAATTGCATCCTCTTCAAACTTAGCTTTGGATGGGTCATTTCTCATAAAGTATGAGAAAGTTATGCTTGGTCAAAGTTGAGTTGACTTTTCCTGCAAAACCCTAATTTAGCAACTTTTGGTTCTTGATGAATCATGATCAACCCTTGATCAAATGATGAATGGCACTTCAAAATGAGGATGTTGACCAAAAATCTTTAAGTTTGACTGTATGTAGGCCACAGTTGACTTTTGCTCTAGCAAAATCGATTTTTAGGCTTTTGAGCAATTGACTGAGCAAACTTTCTCTGTATGGCTTGAAACTTGACATGGATGCTGTTGTACCCCAATTTTTGACCTAAGATCCCATATTTATTTTTGCATTTTTAAACATAAGCCAAGGTCACGAAATACGGTTGGTTTTAACCTCTCACCTTCGAGCTCTGACTATGCGAAGATTGTCAAGTGTTTTGAACATTTTTAGCATATGTATCACTGATTTCTAACCGCATACAAAGGTGTATGTTCATGTTTTCTTTTGTGTCATGTGCAGAGACAGGTCTGAATTAAGAGCATCAGGTGTCACGCCTCAATTAAGGTTTTGAGTTTCCCAAGTCAGAAGTACGGTTGATTGTGGATTCTCGAAGACTGATTCATCAAGGCACACTGTTGCACCCTTAATTTCGCTCCTATTTTTTTTCAGTCGCACATTCGTACCATATTTTGTCATTTTGGTCACAATCATTAGTAAATATTTTCATTCATCATATTTTGCATCATTAGTCGTATTTAAGTTGACCAGAAAAGTCAGTTTAAATCAAAGTTTGCATCGTCTTTTAGTTAAAAAATACCTGACATTTCACTTCATGCATTTTTATCTCTTTAATCGTTTCTTGCATTGCTCCAAGTTGTTTATATGTCGATAATAAAAATATTTTGGTTTTATAGACAAACTGTTAAAAGCGATTCAACAATGTACGAAAAATTAGCGAGAAAAATATTTCAAGTTTTCACCTTTTTACCGATCATTTTATGAATCTGTGCTTCGCGTAGATTATGACAGTATGCTTGCTTTATTTTTTCGGTACAGTTCGAGGTCTCGTTTTTAACCGTAAACGCCTGTTTAGCCTGATATTTTAATTATCATTTTATTTCGATTTTTGACCTTGTTGAATATTTTTTCTTTAATCTTTGTGACATGTAGATTATTTTAATGTGTTCATTTTATTTTTTCGGATAAATTTTCGTCCGTTTTTTATCATTTTCGGTCATTTTCGGGTTTTATTTTTATTCATAAAATATTCAAAAAAATCATTTTAAATTGAGTTTTTATATACTTTCAAGTTTTATTTTTATTTTTGTCATTAAAGGGCCTTTTAGTCACAAAAAATATTAAATATACTATGCTTGATTTTCATTGGCTGTTGGATGAAATTGAGGATCGATACACACACAATACTCTATTCCTATTGGCTGTTGGATGAAATTGAGGATCACCTTCACCATTCTCTCTTCATGCCATTACCCTTCAATTTCTTCACTCACAGAAAAAAAAACAAAAAGGGTGACAACACAACAAACTGCATATCACCACATTTCAACTCCTCCTTCAATCCCCCCCACCTACTGTACAAACGTTACCTTCCATCCATCGCATACCCACCTCACTGTTTTCACCAACATAACCCAGCAATCCAAACACTCCCTCCTTTTTCCCTTCATCTCAATTTCGCTAACCGTCTTCCAAATTCCCTTCATTCTCTTCACATACAAACATCTCACGATCTCCTTTCATTCAAATAAACCTTTCATCAAACATTTGATATGCTGAAACATAGAATACAAAAACACTAAAACATCACCCTTCACGTTTGTATCACCATCAAAATTCAAACACAGAAGCAAGCTTTTGTTCTCCCAACACAATGGATATTGCTATAACATCAACTTCAAACTCCCATTTTTTTTTGCAGGTTGAAAAATAGGCAGATTTGTCGAGATTTATTTGTTGTTCTTGGTGCTTATTGTGTTCTTCTTACTATAGAAGGCAAGACACGGAAACGGTTTCGGAAATCGGTATGAGATACGTTAATCCTCCTGGTCACACACAAACCGTCACTAACATGTGAAAACAAAACCAAAACTTCAAACTTTTGTTCCAAAATGATTCAACAATCTCAACAACAAACAACAACCGCAAATTCAAAAGAAAAGAAATCAGATTGCATCCGAGCCCAATCACACAACGCCTCACTACGCCGCAAAGCCGCTCCCTCTTCAATCACGCTGGAACAGAAGCATATAGCAACATACCGAGCAGTCGCCGACATCGCAATCCCGCGTGGCCGCTTAACATCGAACTTGTCCAGCAGCGTGCATCATCTAACCTCCATCTGCAATTCACCACCACCTTGTAGATCGCGGAACCGTCACTCTCTAATCCGGCAGCCGGGGAATTTTCAAATTGGTAACCTATCACTTTTCTTACTTTCATTGTTTGAATAGATGTGGTGTTGTTTATTCATGATGCTAGTTGTATTTTTTATCCATGGAAGAGAATGAATTTTAACAAAAATAAAAGTTGAGAGAGAAAGTGAACATGTGTTTTTGAAAAGGAGATAAATGAGATTTGCTTGCAAGCTGTACTTTTCTAATTTATCTCAATTTTTTTGTTTTGTTTTTTTGTTTAGTTATGTTTTTAAAAAATTATTTTAATAGAATAGAATTTGAAATACACTAATGTATTGTGTGATGTACAGTATGTCACATGTATTATATCCTTCCATCAGTTATCTATGCAAAATAAATGGGCCAATTACATATTTGAAGTCCATGCAATTTTCTAGTTATTTTCATAAAATTGTTTTTTCTGTTTAATTAAGATCTTACAAAATAGTAGTTAGTAAACTTTTTACTTATTTATTCTATTTCATTAATCATAATTAGAATTTCATGCGTATAATTGGGATTTTGGCCTCAAGTCATACTTTTCACACATCTCCATTCCACTTAACACTCTTAATCTTGTGATTTACTTTATGGTATTTGTTTAATTTAATTGCTAATTAGTTATCAAGTTGTGATTTTTTAATTATTTTAGATTAATTAGGTTATTCCCTTTATTTAAGTCATATATGAAAAAATACAAAAAAAACAGATATTTCAAAAGGTTCCTGCGGAGTACCGCAGATGCATTGGGTGCTAATACCTTCCCATTGTATAACCAACCCCCGAACTCTCGATCTCTTTCAAAAACGCATTGTATTTTATTACTTTTAAGTATTATTTTACATTGCATATTTTAGGGTTTTATTTCGCTCTTTTCCCTTTTCCCTTGGAAACAATAAAGCGCGGTGGCGACTCTTGCTTTTTGTGAGTCAAGTTAATTAATAGCTTGATCTCCGATTTTCACCGCTACAGATGATCTTGAGAACATATTAGGACAATGGTGAGAATTTGGGATCCCTTGGACTCAAGTATCTTGATGCAACATGAAACCCTAATTTGAGGTAGACTGCCTTAGGAGAGAGTTTGTCTGGTCAACCCTTGGACTTCCTTGAGCAACTTGAGGATCTTTCTTGAAATGTTTTGAGAAATATGGGAGGGAAAATTTTGGGGTACAACAATTGGATTAATCAGAACCACTGAGTTTGTCAGTTGATGTTAAAGGTTGTCTGTAAGGTGATCCAACGGGACATAGTCATATGCTTTAATTCCCTAACTTTTTCGTGGACCGCCCTTCCTGGTTTTCAGTCCACCGGGATACCCCTTTTTTGCCCAAGTTGCCCTTTCGGGTTTTTAACTTGCTGGATGTACAAATTTTTTTATTTTATCCCTAATTTTTTCCCGAACCTTTGTGGTTCGCCAGGATACCATTGTTTTTCCTAGGTGTGTCAACCTAGCGGGTCTCTTATGCGTAGTATCTTTTGACTATGCGTTCACAGGGTGTTGAAGGTCGTCGCCATCCATAGTGGTTAAGATCATTGCTCCACCAGAGAATATGCTTTTGATCACAAATGATCCTTCGTACGTAGGGGTTCATTTGCCCCTGGGATCACCTTATGACAATATGATACGCTTGATTACCAAGTCACCAACCTGATATACCTGACGTCTGACCTTTTTGTTAAATGCTTTGATCATACATTTTTGGTACATCTGGCCGTGACAGACAACTGTAAGCCTATTCTCATCAATTAGGTTTAACTGGTCAAATTGAGTTTGGATCCAATCGTCTTCACTCAGCCCTGCATCCTTTATGATTCTCAGAGAAAGGATCTGGACCTCAATAGGCAAGACATCTTCCATGTCGTATACCAGAGAGTAAGGTGTTGCCCCGGTTGATATGCGCGCCGTGGTACGGTAACCGTGGAGAGCGAATGGTAGCATCTCATGCCAGTCCTTATAGGTTACTGTCATTTTTTGTATGATCTTTTTGATGTTCTTATTTGCGGATTCGACAACACCATTCATCTTTGGCCGATAAGGAGAAGAATTATGGTGCTAGATCTTGAATTGCGCACATAGTTCGGTGATCATAGTATTGTTGAGATTCGTACCATTGTCTATGATGATTCTCTCTGGGATGCCGTACCAACATATGAGATTCTGTTTGATGAAATGGGCCACGACATTCTTGGTAACGGAAGCGAAAGAAGCTGCCTCAACCCACTTTGTGAAATAGTCAATGGCCACCAGGATGAAGCGATGCCCATTAGAAGCCATAGGTTTAATTTCTCCAATCATATCGATGCCCCACATCTCGAATGGCCAGGGAGCAGTCAAGACATTTAGAGGGACTGGAGGCACATGCATTTTGTCAGTGTAGATCTAACACTTATGATAGGTTTGAGAATGTTGATAGCAATCTGCTTCCATGGTAGACCAGTAATAACCTGCCCGTAGGATCTTCTTAGCCATCTTATGCCCACTGGAATGGGTGCCAAAAGTTCCTTCATGTAGATCAACCATGTTCTTTTATGCCTCAACCTTGTCTATGCAACGAAGAAAAATAGAGTCATGGTTGCGTTTGTAGAGAACACCATTGCTGAGGAAGAACTTAGCAGAGAATCTCCTTAAGAACTTCTTATCATTGACTGAAGCCCCTTCCGGATACTCTTGAGCCTCAAGATAACTCTTGACTTCATGGAACCAAGGCTGGTCGACTACGTCTTCAGTATTGATCTCGTGACAGTAAGATGGTTTATCCATCCGTTCAATGGTGATCCGGGGAGCCTCGTTACCCCACTTGAGTTTAAACATGGATGAAATTATGGCTAGCGTGTCTGCTAGTTGATTTTCCTCTTGTGGAAAATGCTTAAAGGTAATTTCCTTGAAATATGGGATTAATGTCAACACATGTTCTTTGTAGGGGATGAGGTTAGGGTGCTTCATGTCCCACTCTCCTTTGATCTGACTGATGACCAAGGCTGAATCTCAAAATACGTTAAGGACTTGATTCCCAAATCCATGGCAACTTTGAAACCAAAAATGCACGCTTTATATTCTGCCATGTTATCTGTATAGTTGATGCAAATTCTGGCAGTGAAGGGGGTATGACATCCTTCAGGGGATATGAGTACAACACCTATTCCATTTCCGAGTGCGTTAGACGCCCCATCAAAAACCAAGGTCCATCGGGATCCTTGTTCAGGTCCGTCATATGGTCTAAGTTCTTCACAGTTGTTTACCATCATGATGTCTTCATCCGGGAATTCAAACTTCATGGACTGATATTCATCCACAACTTGGTGAGCAAGGTGATCGGCTAGCACACTTCCCTTTATTACTTTTTGGGTAGTGTACTGAATGTCGTATTCTGTTAGGATCATCTGCCATCTCACTATTCTCCCAGAGAGGGTGGGCTTCTCGAATATGTATTTTATTGGATCCATCTTGGATATCAATAAGGTGGTATGGGTCAACATATACTGTCTTAGCCGACGAGCATCCCATGCCAGAGTGCAGCAAGTTTTCTCGAGCAGTGAATATGTTGTTTCACAGTGGGTAAACTTTTTGCTCAGGTAGTAAATAACATGCTCTTTTCGGCCAAACTCGTCATGCTGCCCCAGCACACGGCCCATTGAATTTTCCAAGACAGTTAGATACATGATCAAGGGTCTTCCCTTGACAGGCGACATCAAAACAAGAGGCTCTTGTAGGTACTCTTTGATTTTGTCGAAGGCAACTTGGCATTCATCATTCCATTTGACTACTTAATCTTTCTTCAGTAATTTGAAGACTGGTTCACAAGTAGCTGTTAAGTGAGAAATGAATTTGACAATGTAGTTTAGCTGTCCTAAGAATCCTATGACTTCCTTCTCAGTACGAGGAGCTGGCATTTCTTGTATTGCTTTCACCTTGGCAGGGTCCACTTCGATACCTTTACCGCAGATGACGAAGCCTAAGAGTTTACCGGACCTCACCCCGAATGTGCATTTGTTCGAGTTCAACCTCAACTTATACTTCTTTAGTCTCTCAAACAGTTTCTGCAAATGGTCAAGATGTTCCTCTTCAGTTTGAGATTTGGCTATCATGTCTGTGATACGGTGGGAGAACTGACTAGTGTTTTGCGTTCGTATTCGCACTTGTGCGGTTGAGCAAGAGTCGCCATCGACTTTTTATTTTATCCTAAAGGAAAGGTTAAAAAAGCACAGCAAAAACCTTTTGAGATATTTCGTGGGTTCGGGGGGTAGATTATGAAAAGGGAAGGTATTAGCACCCTTTTCATCCATGGTTATCCATGGGCTCTTAGTTACTTGGTTTTTTAGATCACTTGCCTTGTTTTTCGATTGCTTGAAATTGTGGTGTGTGTGTGTGTTTTGAAAATGTTTTTGAAGAGATGCCTTGTCTTAGGCGACCAATGTATTTGACTCGTGTTTGAGTGTTTTACAAAAGTGTGTATCTTTTCGAAAAGATGTTTCAGATGTTTTTGAGAGTTTGTTTGAAAGTGTTGTGGATTGTGGTTTTTGAAAAGAAGGCAAGTGTTTTTGCAAATTGATCTCAAGTAACTAAAAGTTTTATCTACCCTATTGTACTCAAAGGTTTTTGTTATGTTTTAACCCTTTTTAACAATTTTGTTCCACCATTGAATTTGATGGACAATCTTGCGTTTAGGAAGTTTATTCGGGACGCGCGCGGGTCATCGTATGGACCATGAATGCAATGGTGCCAAGTGTCTTTGGCAATTTGCTTTGAAGGGACTATGATCATTCCGTTTTAGGCAACATTCGAAAGCGTCATCGAGGGACTTATGATCATTTGAATTTGTTTTGCCAAAGATACTCGACGTGCAAGCATGGCCCGTTTTGGAAGGCAACATGTGGGATTACCCTAGAGGGTGCAAGTGTGATTGTGTATTGATTTCATGTATTTGTCTTGTATTAGGTTATCTAGCGTTTGATTTTATGTACATGCAAACCCTAGGTCTAATCATGGTATAATTGAAAGCGGTAAATTGCGAAAATATAAAGTCTACGCTATTACAAAATAGTATCCGGGAGTGGGGGTACAATATTCACAAATGGGGATGAGACTTATAGTATCCAATAAGTTACAACCAAATCGAATTTGCGATCAAATGTAAATGACGAATATCAATGTATAAGATAAACAAGTATGTATAGGAGCAATATATTGTGTATTTGTATTGTGTAAGTATGAGATGTATTGTGTAAGCATGAGATGTATTTACAAATGCGACAAGGTGAAACTAAGGTGTATTAGGGTATTTGTTTTGACCTAAATATGTGTTTAATGAATCTTTGATTTGTATATTTTTAATATGTACAAAAGAAATGTTTTAATTGAATGTTCAAGTTTTAATTAAATTATGTATAAAAATGATGTTTTAAGAAAAGAAAATACTTCTAAGTTTTAATTATGTATACAAAAAGTATTTTTTCCATTTGTTATATACAAAAATATTTTAGTTAAAAGAAAGGGAAAATATCTTCAATTTTAATTACATGGTGTAAAAAAAATGTATTTTTGTTATTTATGTACAAAGGTATTTTAACTAAGTATTTAGAATTTAAATTATGTATATAAGAAATATATGTTTTTAAGTATTTTTTGTATTAAAGTATTATTGTCATATTTTGTATCTTTATTTAATTATGTTTGTATATAAAAAATATTGTTAGTGTAATAATAGAATGCAATTAGTATTAAGTAACAAAAAGTGGTTAATTAATATGAATGGGCTTGGTGTTTGGTTATGCTGGCCCAAGTAAAGCAAAGGTTATGAAGCGTAAGAAGAGGAAAAGGGGTGTATGAATTGGAGCAATGATTTGGGCTTAGGCATGCAGAGACGGGCAAGGCCCACGTTTGGACTCAAGTCATTTTTAGGGTTTGAGGTTTTTGTCTTCAGTCTAGGGTTTGTACAGCGGCGCGTCCATGGAGGTTCGTCCTCTTCATCTTCTGGCCATGGCTACTGGACAATGCCTCTTTGCCTGAGCTACTCGCGTTACCACCTCTTCTCCTCTCATATGGCTTAGACAGTTCTCAAACATGGTAGTGTATTGTTTCGAACTTGTTTAGGCATTTTTAGATTTCGCATGTCATGATTTTTATGTTCTGATCCTTGTGTTCGTCGTGTTTGTTGTGTTTGTTTAACGAGGTGGTGAAAAGAAAGATGAGGAGAGAATATACTACCTTGAGGGGAAAACGACGGGGAGAAGAGGACGAGGAGGCGCTGAGGCGGCTTAGTGGTGAAGAGGCTTTGCACGATGAAGCTAGCTTGGATGACACTTGGTACTTCTGTATCTTTTCTTCTTCTTCTGACTTTGCTATTATCTGCTTCACTGTTGTCCCTGAGTACTTTCTTTCTTCCTCTCTCGTCGCCTTGAATTGTCGCTTTGAGATGCCTTTTGTTTATGTGCCTCTTGATGGCCTTACAAACATGCTTCTTCCTTGACTGTCTCTTTGTTGCCTGTATTGTTCTGCTTGCTTATGTTGCTTATGTTGATTGCCCAATGATGTGTTTACTGAGGGCTTGCCTGTGTATCTTCTTTGCCTTCTCGTGTTGCCTATTATTTTTCCTCTTCTTCTGACTTGTGTTGCCTTGGGCTTGCTTTGAGTGGCCTTCTGAGATTGATGCCTTTGGAATGTTTTATTTATTGCCCAATGATGTGTTCTTACTGAGGGCCTGATGTTTGGGTTTGGAAATTGTGTTTTTTGATGTTTAGGCCAAGGTTTGTGAAAGAGCAGATTAATGTTTTTTTGTCTCTTAGAGTTTAAGGGCTTGACAGGTTGTTACTCAGGCAGGTTGGATGTTTGTATTTTGGTGAGAAAACGGGTTATGCTTCTTCTGCAGGTTAGGCTTGTGATGGTTCAGGTTAATGCCATGTTGGTTTCAGGTTTGGCCTTGAACATGTTTTTGATGTTTAGGCCAAGATTTTGGTAATGCTGACAGTAGGTTTTGGTATTATTTGTGTTTTGTTGTGAGGCTTGGCCTGGTATCTGAACTTGTTGGCAGGTTATGCTTTTGGGATGGGTTTGAATAGGTTTTGACTGATGCAGGTTTAAGGTGTTTGATAGCTTCAGCTGGTTTGTATATTGGTTTAGGACAGGTTTTGTGCTTGCTTCAAAGCTTAGGCAGGTTTAGTGTTTGACAGGGGTTTGTATGCTGGTATGGTTTATTGCAGGTTATTGGTTTTGACTTGCTTCAGGTCAGGACTTGGTAGATGCAATAGCAAGTTTTTGTATATCAGTTTGTAGCAGGTTTGAGTTTTACAGTAGGTTAATGGTTTGGCTTCAGGTTTAACTGGTTTAAAAAGTGTTTGACAGGTGAGGCTTCAGGCTTGCTTTAGGCAGGTTGGGGTGCTTGAGGTTTCTTGCTTAAAGTTTTTGACAGCAGGTTGAATGCTTATCGGTTTGTATTGGTTTCTCTTTAACTTTGGTGAAAGTTCTGCCCCCTGAACTGTGTTTAGTTTTTTGTGTGTTATATCTTTCTTCCTATGCCTGCCTAAAGCCTAAAAACCTGCTTCTTTTATCTCTCCATTCTCTCTCAGTACAGCAAAAGAAAATGTTAAAATATGTTTGTTGCTGTACTTTTTCTGAAGGGGCCACCCTTGTTGGGAAATGATGAAAATGAGTTGCTTGCATATCATGATTTCCTCTGCATTCTTTATCTCTTCTTTGACAACTTTTGTACTTTTTTATCTTCTTGGATATCCTTGTGCAGTAACTTGACAGCTTTGAGTAGACTTCTTGGCATTTTGACAGTAAATTTCACTTTGCATTTTTTCAGTTGGGTTTGAACTTGTTTCTGAACTATGCAGTTTGACATTTTGCACTTATGCATTTGACACTTTGCATTTTTTCAACTTTGCATAAAAATTCTTCCCTCTTTGTGAACCGGGAGAAATCCCGTGATTTGCAGAGAGGGTTAACTGATCCCAATCAGTGGCCCTTAATGATGACTTTCTTTTATCTGTCTTTTCAATTTAACTGTTATTTGACTTTTCTCCTTTTCTTTTGCAGATGAATATTTGGATGAAGAATGAAGAATTAGGGACTTTAGAAGATATTTAGAAAAATAGGATAGTTTTAATTTCCATTTAATCCTTGTAACTATTATTATTTTAAATACTTTGTAAATAAATACTTGTATCTAAATAATAATTGTAACAAATGTTTAAATATGAAATAAAAAATTCTATTGATCCATTTAATTCTTTTTATCCCTTTTTTCAATTATTTACTTGTTATTTATAGTTCCTTAAATTAAACAAAAATGAAAATTAAATTTCAAATATTTAATCCTTAGAATAATAAATAACCAACTAAACATTGATTCTTCGTTGATCAAAAATAAATGAACTTGGCGCCTCCATCATCTAAAGCAACGCACAGTCAAACACAATAACTGATCAGACGCACTCCTTTCTTATTGATTTCTTACCAAGCACTGTAAATCCAATACTGCATATTTCTTTTGACTGGCTCAAACAAACCAACGTGAATTCAAACCAACTGTCTCTTTTACTGATTAAATTAAAAACAATACGAATTCGACCCGAATCTCGGAATAACTTGCAAAGTGCTGTGGAATTTTAACCTTCTGAGAATATGCCCACAAAAACCTTAATTCCTGATTAAATGCCAAAGAACGTCCACCTGATCAAAATTGAGCCAGAATCAACCAAAACCCTAAGCCAATTGTGTGAAACGATCCAGAGCCCTGAAAATCAGTAAAACCCTAATTTTGTTTGACTGACGAGAAAAGTCCGTTTGTCCGATTCTTGAGCCAATCTAAAAAATCAGGAAATGCCGGAAGCTGCGATCTTTTGTGGAAAAATGAGAGGGCAAATTTTGGGGTACAACAGTTGCCCCTGTTCAATCTTCTTGAACCTGAAGAGTTAGATTGGCAAGTTTGCCTTTCGCGACTTGAAGGCAAAAGAAGATTGGACACTAAAGTGCCCAGAAAATTTACACTCGTTGATGTGATGGTAGAGGTGAATGGGCTTATAGATGCCATTTGGTGATGGGCTTAAAGATGCCATCTGGTGACTGCTGGTAGGAGGATGGGCTTATAGATGCCATCTGGTTATGTTGAACTGTATGTCAATGGTGAGTGGACAAATATCAGAAAGCCACCCATGTTTCGGAACATCTCTGAATTGGGGGTCCGAAATAAGCAACAGATTGACGTCCATGTCTGGAGAATCTGTAAACTATTTTCAGGAGTTGAGATTGAATAAGCAATAGAGCCACATCCGTTGTTGGGAAGCGTCCGTAAACTATTTTCAAAAGTTGAGAAGAGTCTGAACAAGTTGGTAGATTAACATCCGTTGTTTGGAAGAATCCGTAAACTGCTTTCAGACGTCTTGAAGAGGAACCGGTGTAGGGTTTCCTGATGATGAGCTCGTGTAAATCCGCATTTGGATGAATCTGGAATAAGTATCAGAATGTCGCCGTGCCCGGGTCACATCTGAACTGTTTCTAGATGAATCTCGGAAGATGATCTTTGTTTATCGACTGATCTTACCTGAAAAAGTAAAGGGTTAGTTATATGCAATGTTATGATGCATGATGCAATGTACGTGACATCAATGTTTATGTCATGAATGTGATGAATACGCATGTAAGCTGATGAGCTAGCTTGCTGAGGATAGATGAATCTTGGAAGGCTGAAGATAAAAGAATCTTGACTGCTGTCGGGAAAATAATTCTTTGGCTGTTGCTGGGGAAGAGAATTCCTGATGACCTCTACTGGGGAGCTCCAAACTAGTAGACTCATTCTGGGGAGGTAAGATTGAGAATCTTTGGCTCGGTGGGAAGTAACCCTGGCTACTTCACTGGGGAACTCAAGATTTGCCCTCCCAAAACTCTGTGGGGAGAAGGCTCACTAGTCTGGCTCCGCTGGGGATTGATAATTTGAAGTTTTAGCTTCGATGGGGATAATGAAACTTGACTCTGAGTGGAGTTAGCTTCTGGAAGGTTCTCTGACTGGGGATTGTGAGAGTCCTCTGATTGCTGTAGGTGTTGGTCTAGAATAAGTTACTGAATGTCGCCATCTCTGGGTCACATCTTGAACTATATCTAGAAACAAAACTGAATAAGTTATAGAATGTCGCCATGTCTGGGTCACATCTTGAACTATATCTTGAAAGTCTGAATGAGTTATAGAATGTCGCCATATCTGGGTCACATCTTGAACTATATCTGGAAGAAATCTCTGAATGAGTTATAGAATGTCGCCATATCTTGGGTCACATCTTGAACTATATCTTGAAAGTCTGAATGAGTTATAGAATGTCGCCATCTCTGGGTCACATCTTGAACTATATCTGGAAGGAATCTCTGAATGAGTTATAGAATGTTGCCATATCTTGGGTCACATCTTGAACTATATCTTGAAAGTTTGAATGAGTTATAGAATGTCGCCATCTCTGGGTCACATCTTGAACTATATCTGGAAGGAATCTCTGAATGAGTTATAGAATGTCGCCAAATCTTGGGTCACATCTTGAACTATATCTGGAAGGAATCTCTGAATGAGTTATAGAATGTCGCCATCTCTGGGTCACATCTTGAACTATATCTTGAAAGTCTGAATGAGTTATAGAATGTCGCCAAATCTTGGGTCACATCTGAACTATATCTTGAAAGTCTGAATGAGTTATAGAATGTCGCCAAATCTTGGGTCACATCTTGAACTATATCTATCTTCTGAGGTGATAAGGAAATTGTTGAATACCTTTGACATTCGAATGCCCCAAGTGGTGATTGAGGAGTCTTGAATTAGATTACTCTGCGAATTGAGAGATTTCTTGAAATCCTGACTGGACTGCCCCAGGTTGACTGAACTTCGAAAGATCTGTTGAAACCTTGACTGGACTGCCCCATGTAATGCTCCTTGTTGATAGGAGATTTGTAATGGAAGTGTCATCCTCTTGAAGTGATTTTTGCTTTCTGAGAGAGTTTTCGTTCCTCCGAACATTCGCTGTATGAAATTCTTCACTGTCAAACAAAAAGCCAAATGCAGACAGTGATATTCAAACAATGCAAAGTTTATGTTTGTCTCGAAGTTTTGAAAAATGCGTTTTTAGCAGAAAACTTTTTATAAGACAGATCAACACAAGATTTAGAGCAAAGCCCTACAGGAGTCAGGATACCTTTTGTAACAGTATGCTTTCGAACTAACCCATGCTTCAATTAGGACTTTTGAAGGGTTGTAACGCGGCCTGGTTCACGGTTTAAGAAACAAAGGACAATAGGCTCAAAGTATATTTGTACCCACCCGCTCTTCGTGACGTCCTTCAACCTAAGCTCAGTTAATTGCGCGTCATACTCTGTTTTGAGTTTTGGAACGACTTTTGGGCGATGGTTCACCAGTTGAATTTGGGGAGACAGTCATCATCTCCTTTTTTCTTTTTCAACATTTTTTCCATGTTGTTGAGGATTTTGTAA